TCATGTTCAACGTGATGAAGAAATAAATTTAGAAACTATTGCAAACCAATTTATTTACAATTCTAAAGTGTGGAAAAATACATTTTCTACATAAAAGATGTAATTATCAAAATTAAATTGGCATCTAATTAATTTTTGTCTTTTAGTTTTTTTTTGATTAAAATTTAAATTGCTAATATTTTTAAAATTTTATACCATATAAAACAACATATATATATATATATTAGTGATTGCTTAACAATCTATTGAATGAAAATTAAATTATTTAGGTAAAACTGTACACGTGTCTATAAAAAAGTGAGCCCTCTCTAGATATTTTCTAAACCTGGTGCAGTGGTGCCTCTGCACGAGTGCGAGACGACGATGGGAGTTGTGGAGCGCGTTCGTCTGGATGTACCACCGAATTGCGTTTGCTGCTATCCAAATGGATTATAATTTATAATGTACTGACCCGGTGCAATGAACCGCCCACACCGCGGTTTCTACTGCGCTGCACAATGTACTCTGTTCAAATAAATGTCRCAATAAAAATGAATAATGATTGTCGTCGGTAACAAGTTGTCATCTGTGCAACRATCAGACCACAGAATAGATTAAATTAATCTATTCTGTGATCATACGCTCCTCGCTCCTGCACACCAAGCCTACGCGCGTGRTCAGTGTGTGTTGGCGCTGCGACAGATCTTACTAAATGTCCAGTTGTCTGATGCAAATTGCGCAGGTAATATAGACAAAGGGTGACCAAAATTCTATTTATAACATACAAATTACTAATGACAATTTAATGTTTAATGTGTATATTAAGCGAAAATTCCTCGAATAATAATTAATAATCATGCGACATAAAATGTCAATACGACGGCATAAAAAAGAATAATAATGATAAAAAATTATGATACGGGCGTCCCCACAATGGTATAATACGACAAAAAATAATATAATTAAACTATATAATGATAACGGCACTTAAATGATTTAAATACCTCATAGAACACAATATATAAACATAGGCGCCGACTCCGCGGGGGCAAAGGGGGCGATCGCCCCCGTACATTGATTTAACGGGGGCAAAAGTATTATTTCGCCCCCGTGCCCCGTTGTGTACAATAATATTTATTTGGTTAAATACCAGATTATAACATGAAAATATTCATTAGAACATCGACGATTGTATATTTCTATATTACCTAAATATGATCTATAAATACTATAGATCGCTTGACGCTCACTACTATTTGGTTTTATATTTTGTCTAAAAATACATCTGTCAATTTTTCCCGAAATATAGAGACGGAACTGATTTTATTACCATTATAGTATATAAACTAAAAATTTTCAATTCAAATAATATTATTTATAAATTATAAACAAATATATTTATAGCACCCTAGAGGAGTATTAAAATAGAGTTAAGGGACAATTTGGTAATTATTCCTCCCGGTAAGCAAACTACAGCATACTATAGAATTTTTTTTCACTTAATAGAAGAGTTTGCCCCCGCGCTAATATCTAAAAGTCGGCGCCTCTGTATATAAAAATAAAAATWATGAGTACCTATATAAAGTTTACAAATACAATGATACCATCGGACCGACGGACATCACACACGGACTAACCTCCAAGACGKCTTTGAATAGACAAATCGACACGTCCGTGATGCTGAATTGGGCGAACCGTGTGGCTTCTGGACCTCAACGCAGTTGGCGAGCAGATAGGTAGCACACAAATCRGAGCTACCGTGAAATACGTATTACAGGACTTCGACGCAACACGTGGTTAACTATATAAACAGCTGACCAGACTCGGGATGTGCGGATTTAAAACTCACGCCAACGAAGTGTATYATAATGTATGTCGRTAAGTGGTAAGTGACAAAATGTTGCCCACGGTGACGTTAAATCAAACGACAGCTGTACGCAAGCCGGAATGTCCGGCAACCACAAAACTATATTATGGCGCACACGATGTGACAACAGTCGTCAGTCACGTCGCCAACTCGACAAACGCTAGATAAAAACGGAAGACWCRGCCGCCTTCACACGTGAAARGTCGGCATTTCGGCAAAAAAGTGATGTTGCGGTGAATCAAAATCGTCGATAGTTCAAGCGATAACGTCGCACGGCGTAGGGGCAAAGGAACTCAATTGTTAGAGCGCGCCGATTATAACGCGTACTGAGTGTCCGGATTGAACAGTGTGCTTTGACACAAGTTGGCCGTCGACCACCAACTACCTACTATGATGTTCTTATTTTGATTAGGAAGAGTAAAGATTTTATTATTTAAAATCTGTACACCTAATATTATTGTTATACCTATTGCTCCACTCCGGCCCTAACCAGCTGTTAAGACCGATTAAAAAAGAACACGAAGAACCTGAGATAGGGCATGGCATAATATTGTTTGTTTTTTTTGTGATAGCTATACCTACTAATTAGGCAGGWTTAACTCTCTCTAAACATTAAATATTGAAAAACAAACCGGCTGTCGGTCGAAGTCAACTCCTGCAGCAGTGCGTTTACATCAAATATAGTAGTCCTAAATGAGAATATGTTAAACATTTTATGCTTTTAAAATGCGTAGATTGTAGACAATACTTAGGCGGGAAGTCGACTGCTATAAAACCGAAGACTATAAATTATAATTATTTAATGTCAATTATGCACAGTGGCTCCCAGGCAGGTCATAGCAAATAATGCAACTGCATGTGTTTTCGAGGGGGGTGGCTGTATATTACTGCTGGTTTCATGATAGAAAAGTTTATAAATTTTAAACATAAACTATAATCTATAATAATTTATTTCCTTGAACTAGKTATAGTTATGAATAAGTGAAAATATTTTTTATAAATAAACAATTGGATGGGTGGGTGACTAACTTTATGAACTACATGYGCTCTTAAAWTACCTCTGTGCATTATCACTGATTATGTATAACTGTGCTATCGGGAACAATATAATTTGTACGAAATAAAGGATGTTTAAAAGAACTTTATCTTAACTTAAAAATTCCAAAAATTAGAAGTTGAATAAATGTATATTATTCATTTATTCGAGAAAATAATGTTCTAAACTTCTTATCAGTATTATAGGTATGCTATTATTTTTGAATGAGATTTTTGGAAACTTCAGTAGATATATTTATTTTTGTTTTTTGAGGAGACGTATAAAAYTATAAATCGATACATTTGTTAGGCGTCAAAAGTTTTGGAGGAAGTGGTGGTTTAGTGATTGTACAGCTGTTTTAGGGTTATTATCAACAACATGAGACGTGATTTTATAGAAATGCTTGGAAATAAATTTGGGGTTTTGTCTTCTTAAAGAATATAAATAGTTTCTTCTTGATTTTTTTTTTAAAAAGTAGGTACAGAAAAATAATTTGTAGGTAACTACTGGTTTTGCTTGTTGTTTATCAAAACGAACTRTCGGTTATTATGGATAGAGTATACTAGTATAGTATAGTATAGAGTATAATATAAAGGTGTTATGAGAGTCAGAGTGATTTCTTTGAAATTTTTTTTAGATGATTGGATTACTTATATTAAAATGATTTTTGTCAGAGGAGTATCAAAATTGCTGCCTTAATATTATTGTTACTAAGTACTATAGCACAACACTATTTTGATATTAGGGCGCAAAGATTTGAAAGAACTAGAAAGGATTAAGGAATAGTTAAAACGGTGATTGGAGAATTCTTGGAGTTGAGGAGATTTAAAAAGATGATTATACGATATATTAATGTGTTAATAAGTGATATAGGTATATACATATATAGAGATGGGTACCTATTAGTAGTTAAAATCAATATATCGATAATGTCAGTRCTCCAGGGTGCTTTCGGAACGATGTAGGTCCAGTGGTTGACTTGAAAATTAAGTTGTAGAGRTACTCTATAGCTACTTTTAAAATGTAGTGTCCCTAGCATTTTAAATTTTTAATAAAACTTACATAATCATGGCGGTGGGGGTTAAAAGTTTACATAACAATCCGTCCCATGCGTTCCCTTTAAAAWAGAAGTAGGGGTACGCTAGCGTATCCAAAAAATTAGTCGAGGTACTCAGTCCCTCCGCAATTTTATCGATTAGATTTTTTTCTATACGTGTTAAGTAGGTGGTCGTAAGTATCTTATATATTTTGCGTTTTTTAAAAATAATATAACTGAAGTATACTAAGTAACTTAATGTAATGTTCCTATTGAATAGGTAATTTGTAAATGTGCTTTAGAGAAACAATTATTATTTAAAGCACACAATATACTAAAAGAGTGATCATAAAAAAGTTTTTCGAATGGACCGATACTTTGTTGAGGGCCGGTAGAAATTTAAAATCTCGGTGGGCCGAAAAGTCTCTATCCGGCGCTGTACCTACTAATGTCTGAAATKATTACTGAAATAAGTACTTTTTCTAGTAATAATAATGTTTAGAAAATAATCTCCTAGTTCAGGGGTCGGGAACCTGCGACTCTTTAACACGTAAACTGTAGCTCTTTGGAAAATCCATTCATATATTAAGAACCAAAAACATAAAATGTWTTTAAAAGTGGCAAATACTGAACTACTTACGACTACAAAAAATAAAATTAAAATAAAAGTAGTTTGATTCCTGGACCGAACAATATACCTGTGTGGCTCCATGGACATCATTATGGTTTAGTAAGTTTTTAAAAAGAATGGCTCTTACCTACGAAAAGGTTCCTGTCCCGCTATAATAGCTAATCTTCTTCACAATTACGAGTGCAGTTATTACAAACCATGATAAACGACTTAGAGTATCGACTTAGATATAGTTCCAGACGTTCCAGTTTCCTTCACTTAAATTAACTCRATAACGTATTAGGATGATTTAAAAATGCTTCTGCAATTTATTATATAAATGAAAAAGGCAAACATTTACTATTAGATAACAGATATCTTGGGTAGTATTTGGAATACTTTTTTAACGTCCGTCGTCCAATCACATTTTAAAAATAATTGCATTCTTTTCTATTCTAGAACTTGCTTTTGTAATTGTATATAATATGTATATTTCTAGACAAAATATTTTATAATAATATATTATTTTGTTTTCTACTGTTTTCAGGGGAACAGTAATGTTATTTTCTAATTTTGCAGCAACGAGCCAGCGATAGTAATAATAGATATAATTATGACTTCAGGATTTCATGTAATAAGTAATTAACTAATGGGTATCTGTATGTCTGTAATATATAAATATCTAACCCCCTTCCCAGAAATAGATTCTAGTTGCGCCTTTGAATTGAAAATATTATTATTATTGTTATTTAAATCTAATAAAAAAATCACTTAATCTACTAAAAACGGTATTCGATAAATATTTGGAAAACTTGTTTTGACGGAATATGTATTCGAAATACTTTTAAAATGTATTTTACCTAAGTCTGCGGAACTGCGGATACTCATTATACTACCTATATTTCATACATTTTATAAAAAAAGGTATGAACAAATTCATATGGCGTTGTAAATTTTAATTTGTGTCTTAATTGGAATTTGTATTTATTCATTACATTAATTKTATTACAAATTATTATTACATACGATTTATTTTATTATGCATATGAATCGTTCTCAACTTTAAATTGTAAATAAAATATATTTTTTGTAATAATTTTTTATTGTCTGTGAATTATTTTTTTGTTTTCTCACGCCCTCGCGCTATYACTAAAACTCRCTGAATCATAAATACTATCGATATTATTTAATTAATAATTTATTTTGTACTTGTTATGATAATAATAACAACTAATGTAATATTTTCATGGGAGATATTTCTATTAGGGGTAATTTTAAACGGAGACATTTTGTACTGGAGATATCTTGTCAGAGATATTTTTTCGAAGATATATATTTTGACCGGTCACCATAAGGAAACATCACTAAAATGCACTTTTGAAYATTTTTAGGTAGGTACATTTAATAAATATGGTTAAATTATTTTATCATGACAAATAGTTTACAAAAACGTATGATTATGTTAAAAGTTTGAGACCTGCTAAGAAAAAATGATCAGTATAATAATTTATGGTCTTATAGAACTATAAAAAATCGAAATTGTAATTAAATTTAAGCAGTTATACATTAAATTACGTAGTTATTGAAATGAATAGACTGTAAAACCCTAAACTATATACAGTTAAAATAAGTCTAATAATGCGTACATGTAGGATTTATGTAGGTATTCTATACACCTAATTTACTAATTGTATTATGCTAATGTACTCACTGTGTAATCATTTTTATATCAACCTATCTTTCATTATTTTAAAATGTTAATTAAACTAATTACTGAAGTCGGTAAGTACCTACTTAAGTCTTAACTGTCTATGTTTTGTATACCCACCCGTTTATTATATGGAGTAATTTCATTATTAATATAATTAATGATCGCCGTTCATTATTGTATGTTGTTTTAATTGTGTTACCTATAATGAGTTCACCACCACCATTAAAATTATTCAACTCCCCTATATTGTCATCTATTTTTTTATGTAGGCATTTTGTATTTAGCTAGCAGACAGCACGGAAACATACGTGTTTATAGTTAGTTAGCTGACCATGGATGATGAAAAYGGTTCTTYCAGCGGGTTCAACATTTCTAAAAACATGTCAATATTGTTTACCTCGCTGGTGGATATAATTTTTAAACGTCTTGATGGTAATTAATAATTAGATATCATTATAATCTCGTWAGCGACGATAAGATTTTTTTATGCAAGTATATCAACATAGTATTATGTTTCCCATATAATAATAGGCAATAGTATACTGATGCAGTGGTGCCCTATTGCAAAACACAAAAACGCAGTTAAATTKTTTTGTAAACCAACTATTTTTYACTAGGATAAATCCTGWGCAATTGCAACGAAATAGTTAGTTTTTTTACACTTGCAAGATRCAGCTAGTAAAATTTAGTATCTACAGAATATATAGRAACAAATTTACAAGGTTAAGATGTATGTTAAATTTGATTTCAGAACAAGAAAATTTTGATAGAACTTATAAATTTAACACAAGTTGTACYTCAGAAATGCAGTGTGATGCCACAGAAATGTTCTGCAATGCAACAACAAATCGATGCCAATGTTCTCTGTAATTTGAAATTATTATAAAAATTAAGTATATACACCAGTAATGAGTAAAAAAAGGTAAAAAGTCCAAGAAAAAAAAGTAAATTACTATTATTACATACACATATTAATGAACTTGTTTTAACAAAATTATAATGACGATTCATTTCACTATTTAATTGCATATTTTGACAAAGATTAAATTAAAAAAACTCTGTATCAATTATCATGTACTATTTTAAATTTATCTATCAACTTAAGGTGTGTGATTTTAAACAAAAAAAATAGTCTTTTTCGTCTTATAATTAATACAAAGTGGGCTTTTTACTTTATTTATGTCATAAACCTTCATTATTATTTACACAATAAATTGTTTTATTTGAATTATTTAATGTGAACAGCTTTCACTTTTGGAATAAAACTGTTGGAATATGCGAATATCAGCATAAATATATGATCAAGTGGTTAGAAGAAAATGGTAAAAAAATGGACGATGATCCACTTTTAAGTAAGCAATATATAAATTGTTTTTAATTATTATAAGTTTGTTGTCCACAATACACATTTCCAACTCAAACGTAATAATTTATAGTAATTTGTAATATAATTATTCATTATAAGCATACTCACCCCCCCCCCCCTTTTCTTCTTAAATAATGTAGTTATTCAAAATCTGAGGTTAAAATTCTTGAGATTTTTTTAGTACCTACCTACTTAAGGAGTGACCTGTGGAGATACAAATTTCTGTATTTAAAATGAGAACCCCCTTTCCTCCTGTTCAACTGTTATAGTTATTCAGTAGATAATTTTTCTGAACAATTTTACATACCTACCAGAATCAAAATTCATTCAAGTAGTGTTTGAGTTATTTAACTTAGAACTGTGTTCTAAGGATAAAGTGTTTATGGTACCTAATAGGTTTATAAGATATGGGAACTATGGTAATTTGAATATTTTAGTCATTAATATTAATTTATCAACATTAATGATTTTTATATAATATGGCTTAGATTTTTTCAGTATTCGGGACTCGGGTAAAAAAATATAGGCAGCTTGCTGTTAAAATATTTTTATTCTGCAAAGAAAATTGAGGAATCATAGATATGTTTTTTTTTATAATATTCTGATTTGCGTTTCAGGCAATGTTTTCTAAAATTGGGTTAAAAAACAAAAATCAGATATGYTTAAAGGTTTAAACACACAGCAATGTAAAATCTATACATTCATATCAGTCAGCTTAGAATAATAGAATCTAAAATTGTATTATTTGTTAAGTTCTGAAGTAATTATTCTGGTGAATGGTGATTGATGAATATAATATACAAAAGTGATAATATTAGTAATATTGTCATTCACCACAAGTTTAATAAGCACAATTTAACTTAAAAAAATAAACAACAATAACTCTATTGGGGCTATTATTTACAATGATTAATCCCCTTCCCGCTCCTCTAGATAGCAAAATATGCATCGTGGACACGTCTATAATTAATGTGGTCAAATTTTATCAAAAATATAAAACCAGGGAAATTGTTTCTGCTACAAAGCTTTAGATGTATTTTGTCATTGAGTTAGTCACCCTAAATATAAACAAAAACCTTTTCTGAGCAAAGGACGTGAGTGGATCTGCACCTAAGATATATAGTTTGTGTTACATAATCAAATTAAGATATTTGTTTTAAAAAGAAAAAATTGTTTTTTGTAGCACTTTAATTAATCGTTTAACTTTTTTAGAGCAATCAGATCCCTTAGAATCGGAGTCAAGATATAATATTCCATTGAATGTAACAATAATAATGGTTATAGGTGCCATGTGCTACTTGTTTTGTGTAGCTTACATCTGTTTTGGTCAAGATAAAATCGATGAAGACAAAAGTTTGTATACAGCGTTACGTAAACAAAAGGAACAGTCATGTAAAATTCAAACATCTATTATAGAGCACATATGATTACAAATTTTAAGATGGGTGTAATAATAGTTAAAAACATATTATTTGATATGAATATAATAATTTAATTTGTTGACATTTTACCAACATTAAAAATTTATTTTAGAAAAAATAGTTTACAAAATTGTACTTATATTAGTCTTTTTTTTAAGGAATAGGTATCTTAAAACTCCAATGTTTAAAAAAAAAATATTGCAATTTTCCATGCAATTAAAATTAATTATTATAATAAATGATTTTTATTAGTCTTTTGTACTCAATTATCTTAATCTTGTTTGTTGTTAATTTCATCTCCATTCTGATTGGGTAAAATTGTTGATTGCTGTTCATCAACATTGCCATCTTCTGGTTTTGACTTAGGTCTTGGTTTTTGTCGTTCTGATTTTTTTCGCGGATTTTTGATGAACTTATTAATCACAGGCTCTTTGCTCTGAATCTGAGTGCAATCAGCTATAAGGTGGTTTGGATCCTTACAACTATGACAGCGTTTGGGCTGAGGACTCAATGTGCACTTGGCAGCAATATGATTGGCAAAATCTCCACAGTTATAACATCTATTACAAATAATTGAAATTTAAAAATGATACATTTTACATTTTATAAGTTACCTACCTCATTTTTTTTTGAGGAAATGTTTTTCTTGAACCTTTACAGTATTGACCCCTTGGTCCTGTGACAAGAGTAGCTTCTAAACCCTTATCTGATTCATGACAAGTAAACTCCACGTGTTCGTTCTCTCTAAGAGATCTAAATCCATCTTTTTTAATTACTCTCTAAAAAAAAATTGAGTTTAATGGTATAAAATAAATGTTATATGAATATATTATATTAAACACGGTATTGTGCATTTTATTATACCTGATGAACAAAAACATCTTTACCACCGTCGTCAGGAGTGACAAATCCGAATCCTTTTTTTGAATTGAACCATTTGCAGATACCTTGGCGAACTCCTTCGGGTAATTCTTCATTTTCCGGTCTTAAGTTTTCAGCATCATTGGACGAGAGACTATCATTTCCATTTTTGTTCGGTTTTTCATTTGTTTCCACCGAATCTTTGAGGTTTATGAATTTGGAATTGACTTTATTGTCCTCTGAGTGTACTACATTTTTAAAGAAAATTAATTAATTATATTTATTTATAACAAAAAAAAAAGGTTTATTCATTCACTTAAAATATCAAATATATAGATAATAAATATAGATCAATAAATAATTTATTTGTGAATAATTACATAATTTCTAATAAAGACTTAACTAATAAATAATAATTTTAAACATCAGTTGAAGATTTGTAAAATATAATGTGTCCTGTTCRAATTTTGACTAAATACATAAAAATTACGGCAATGTTAAAATTATCTTAGATAGAAATTCATAAAAGTTTTTCTTTTTAATTCTAAGATTTGAAAATTTAATACAAGGCTCCTAACATATTATTACAATAGCAGTTGAAATATTAAAGAAATACAGTGACMATTTTTTTTTACGAGTATTCAAAGTTTGAATTTTGATAACATACGTAAAAATCACAAAAATTCGCAAATCATTTTAAGCTAGAAATTCATAAAAAATGTTCTTTTTAAATCTAAGAATTGATAATTATTTTTAATAATCTATAGTTAATATATCCTAGACAGATAAACCGTCTCCGCTCAGAATCTTTTTTCGTAAACAATGATCTAATATCACTGGATTCAAATTAAATTCCATMCATCACAGTAACCCACTTGTAACCAACTGTACAACAGAGCGACATCCACGACTTAACCTATTTTTTATTTTTATTTCATTGTTTTACAGAATTCCACTTTTGTTAAATTATCATAAATAATAATTATCATATATATATAATTATATATCATCGGTAATTACTAATAATTATCATTATTGTCTGGTTACTTATTCACACCTTCACGGGACACATATTTTATATAATACATGATGTGTATATTATATTATATAGTTTGTCTACTCGCTAAAAATTCGGTTATATAATTGCCCGAAGAGATATTTTGTTTTTGATTTATTGACTATTTTAAGTGTTTTATATAGAGAAACCGTATATATTTTCACTATTTTGTATTAATGTATAATTTTTAAACACCATCAAAATAACTTTACCAGTTAAATATTATTTTGATTATACATTTAAAATTTTAAAATTGATAGAAGATACAGTAATACCAGTTTGTTCTTTGGTAATACGTCAACAAAGTAACAMTAATATTATTATTTATTACGAATTTATGAACATTGATCAATATTGATGCTACTTAGCCACAACAATTTTAAACGTAAGCAAGTAATGGCCGGTATAGCTAGTATAATAAGTTTAAAATACGAACAATCGTATTCAAAAAATAAAATAAAAGCTTGTAAGTATACACATTTTTTATGATGRTATTGAGATTAAAGTAATTTATTTTACTGTTAAGTATTATAATATCTACTACAGTAGGTTAAATTCATATTTATGGAACATTTACATTTGAAAATGTCATCGTGTACCACTGTACCTATATAAAATACAATAATATACTTTAACAGTTTTATGTACCAATACCCACAAATAATATTTTTAAATTACAACAAAATAACTAAAATCGTTATTCTTGATTTTAAAATGTAATTTCGTCCAAATTTGAACTTAAAATAAATTTAAAAACTATAAATAGTAATAAACTGAGTTTATATATTTGTTTGGTTAAATAATGAACTATAMTTACGTGAAACCTTATTTTAAATTTTCAATTATTATTTCTAATTCAATCAAAATTCTTATATCGCACACTCTCATATTWATATATTGTGAATTTACGCTCATTTTTTTTTTAAATTTCTATTTAGCAACAACTTATGATGAACCTTGACACCTTATATTAAATTTTCAAGTTTTTTAAACGAGCAAATTGTTTTTTCTTTTTTTTAATTAAAAAAAAATAATCAGAATCAAAAATGTTATACACCTATCAATAGCTCAACATGAGTGAAAATATTTTGAAAATTGCATGTATAAACTGTAAATTTGTTTAGGGTTACACTAAAAACAAACACTGATCCAGTGGCGCATTTAGCCTCCCCCCGCCTAAATGTATGATTGGTACGGGCGTAACTAATTAGAATTTAAGAGGGAGTACGCCACTGCATTGATCTATCTCTAATTCACCAACTAGATTCACTTTCTCATTGACAAAGGTATTGAAGTTAAACATCGAAGCAATATATTTCGAATACTCATCGTGTTGCCAGACACAAACAAAATATTAAAAAAACCACATCGTGTACAATCTAAACATTCATTGCTCTAGAATCTAAAATGTTCCAGACGAAAACAAATTTTTTTTTTTTTAAATCATAGTTATTATTATAGTTAATTTAATGTTTCAACCTACCAAATGTTGTTAAAAAATTATAAGTTTACAACAAATAGAAACTAAATAATAATAATAATAATACACGTTTCATCGATTAAATAATTTTGTCATTTCCATGTGTTATTTTCTTTTCTTTTTTTAATCAGATTATTGAAAATTAATTTGGTTATTATAGACCTGATGATAGTTGGCATATTCAATTAAATCGTAGCTAATACAATTATTTATTTACGGTATACCTATTAGCTATTGAGTATTGACGTAGAGCTTATACAGTAACTAGTAACAACTATACACCGGATGTAAATTTATGATTTCAAATAATAATATGTGCAATGTTTTAATTTGTATAGTTTATATATAATGTTTATCATACTAAATGTTATGTTTCATTTATATAGATAAAGTTAAAAAAAAAAATACATCGATTATTGAAAAAAATCACGTTACATATTATACTAAAATATGCATAATAAATAAATATATAATATACGTATTTGTATTGTAATCTTCGGTACTTCAACTTGAGTACTAGTCAATGAAATATAATATGAAGTATGATATAGCTAGGCTACATAATGACATGTGCAACTAGACGTACGATGATGAATTTCTATGATATAGTAGTATATAGTAGTAATATTATTTTAGTCGCATCAAATCGTCCAATGCCCACTGCTGTGAACGGATCCAATTTCAGAAACAAAACGTTTAAGTATCAGAAGAATGAAGATTGTGATGGAGTGGCGAAGTGCAAGAATACTTCGTAATGCGTTTTATTTCAACRGTAACTATTCAACATCTCGAAAAGTAGCTATCAACTTAATGTTTTGTATATCATTTTGAAGTCGTTAGGTAGGTTTAGGCATATATAAATAACAATACTTTTGAAAAAAAAAAACAAATAAAAACAAGAAAAAAACTAATAAAACTCAGAAGCAGAATATTTTTCCGAGAATTACGAATAATACAAAGTTAATCAAAAATAATTATTTATTTCTATTGACATGTCACAGTTTATATGAGCACAGTGGAGTGGCTAAATAGTAAAACTATAAGATACTTTTTAAAATGTTGATCTATTACTCCGCTCGTATAAAATTTTAAATACTTATAAGTTATAACAAGGGCAGAGGACTTGTAGCATTTGCATATTTTTTTTGCACAGTCACAAAAATAGCAGAGTGCGAAACAAATACGTTTCATGCTTCCACAAAGCTAGTTTTGAAATTTTATTAWGCATATAAATGCATATTTTACGTTTTTTTGGTTTGTAGGGCATATTTTACACTTTTGTACGCTATTTTATATTTTTTGAGACATATTTTACTTGATTGTGCATATTATGGGGTTTTTTAGTGCATAATAAGTGCTTGCATATTTAGAGCTTTTTTAGAGCTACAAGTCCTCTGCCCTAGGGTGGGCAGCTGCCCCTCCTGCGGGCTGCTTTTTTTCTCCCAAATATAGTTTAAAAAAAAAATATTATAATATAATTTTATATTACAATGAGTTAATGAATAATATATTGTAAATATTGAGTATACGGTGTACGATAATTTGTGTTGTCAAAGGTCCAACTTTGTTCAAGCCACAAGCGATACCGCGTTGATAATGTGTGTTAATAGATACGCGGAAATAATACTAATATCCAAAATAATATTCAATTATATATTATAATATACAGTATACATATAACCTATGTCCTATATATAATATACTTATGGTGACCAGATATTAAAAAAGAAAAAACAGTACATAATAATATAGGCTATTGTATATTATGTCTATATAATCATATATTATATCAATATAAATACCTAATAATATAACATCAATTTAAACTCATTTATTTATTTTTAAACATAAATATGCATCACAGATTTTTAATCTTACTTAGAGTGAAAAATAAAATAAGTGTTTTTACTATATATAACTAAACTCATGTGACTTTCAAGAAAAACAAAACTTATATGTAATAAATAATAATAAATACTTAATAAAAAAAACTGTGATAATAGATTGTTATTATTATATTCATCGAGATCTATCTCGATGTTATTATTTTTATATTATTCATGAAGACTAGTCTTCATGATATTATTATTAGATAAAATAGTAATAGATTGAATAGTAAACGCATATTATGAATTATGCAAGTTACCACTAGATGCGAGAGATATTTAAAAATAAGTTGTAGTATATTGCTTAATATTTTATTCTATAAAAGATCGAAACAWGTATACCTATAACATAAATGTATGTAATCTTTAGACTTCAGTATGCGATTTGTGTACTTTGTGAACGTATGTCCTCAAAATTTTTAATCAATCATCACGATTAACCGTAACATTAAATCGATTATCGCGCTATTAGCTAGCAGCATATAGCAGGTAAGCAAACCAATATTATCAGATCTGAACTATATGTACCTATAATCCCAAATCGTAGGAATTAAACTTAAGAACTATTACGAGTCGTTTCTCCGGGCTGAAATAACCATTGTCGCGCACCTCTAAGTCCATTCTTAGTTACATACACACTTTTTTTAAGTAGAATAAATGATTCCACCTTTAAAGTTCAAAGCAAATTACATGTTTTTCGTTAAAAAACGTATAACAACCAAAGAGTAACAAGRCATGGCATAGGTAAAACGTGTAATCTACCGGGCATTAAAACTATTTAAAGGTTTAGTGTGTATATTTATTTCTCTAATTGTTTTTTTCAATTAACGTTATCAACGTTATCGTACATTATCACCGTATATTTGGTCACAAAAGGCGTATTGTACGTTACCTAATAATAGTAGATCATGCGCTTTACCAATGCCCAAGGCATCAAGAGATCACTTGCTGCATTAAAAAATTGATATCAGAACATAAGTTGTTAGGCCTACGCATAGCCACAGCTAGGGAGGTACTCTAAAGTTTTTGGAGTCCAAACTCTATAATTCAGCACCCCCTGGCTACTGTTTAGAATATCAACAATGTGAAAAAAGCTTTTTTATTTTTTGTAAGATTATTTTTTATTTAAAAAAAATCCTTTCCTAACATAAACAAGTTATTTCAAATAGCAGTTACAATTACATGTGAATGCAGTTTTTAAATTATACAACGAATTGAAAATTTGTAGAGGACAAGCATGTATTATACATTTATAATTAGGTTTATGATATGTTACATTTGTTACAGCGCGGTGGTTTACGGACTTGTCAATTTTAAATATTAAGAGATGTTGCAAACATCAAAAATAAACAATGTTGGATAAGTAGGTACMTAAAGCACAAAAATAAGGAAAATAAGTTTAAAATAATACATTATTATGTAACTACAACTGAAAAATAATTCCAGCATATACATTGAAACTTAATTTAACAATATAATTTTTAGAATCAAATCAAATTAGATCCAAAATGATTTAATTCTATTTAACGAATTTCTTCATAATACGATTTTTTTTTGTTTGTTACCTTTTCATGAAAATTTGTAATTATTTAAGTTTCAGTAAGTATTATAACATTGGAACTTAGGACCTCTTAAGATAAGAACAAACCAATGGCTTATAAATACCTACTGAACTCTCGATAATTCTAAAAACGCCATAAATCAAACTGAACGGTTGGTCKACTACAAAAAGTGTCCATTATTTGAAGAAAATGCGTGTGTTTCAGTAACTAATAAAATGTGAGAAAGTGGTCCAAAACATCTATAATTTGTATTTATTACAAATTTGTACTATAAGTCATGGTTCAACCAAGTACTGGTATAATCATATTAATTACCTAGTATATAAGAATRTATAATATTTTAATTTTAAATTTTAACATCGAAAAATAACGACGGCGATGGTTATTGCTAAGGTTTTTGGAATATATTGTTTTGAGCTAATACTTTTTAACCTAGTCTAATGTCTATCTTCCGAATTGTAGTAGGTACTTAGACTTAGATGTCCTACGCAGTAACATCGCTAATTATCTCTGCAGGGTGCCATGGTACGTTTTCAGTTACACATATAATGTAATATTATTCAGGTAGAATATTTTAATTCTATCTTTAAATTGAATAAAACTTTATAATTCAATTATTCTATTTTAACGATAACCTAACCATAATATATCATTTTATATATAACCATTAAAAATTGTGTTAATAATATTTATCTAAATTATATGTGTAGTATACGAGTATACTATATATAAGTATGTCATGCTACGTGATCAAAAAGGATGATTCAACGAGAGATCGATGACGAATTACACGGCTGTGTGGAATTCAGGATTCTTGGAACAAATGTTTCTTATTCCATCATGAAAACACACACGCACGAAATTCGTACAAATAAATAATTCAAACGATTATTTTTATATAGTGCCTACAACCCGGCCTATACTGTAAAATATAATATAATAATGGTAGTACCTATATCCTGGCTAACTATAATACATGTCAACGTCGCATAGCATTATTCGAAATCGAATACAATAATCGTAAAGGTCGATATATTAACAAAAAAAAATATATATATAATATATACGTAGTATAGCGTACACCCTTAGWATGAGTAAATTATATGGAAGAAGGTTTTGGCAACATGGCATTGGAACACGGAGACTGTACATAATATTATATACCTATATAATTCTGTATAGGACATAGGTATACGTTTTAAACACGAACCATCTGCATTTTACCATCCCGTTTACCTGCACAGTTCTGATTTTCCACCCTTAACAGTCGACAGCGCAAACCCTTAGGAAGGAGAAAAACATTTTTAGAAACGCCAGCTGCAACACACTTTTATACATATTTTTCGTGCACCGACATCGGTGGGTATAATACATATATACATATATATACACGCATGAACATATGAAAACGGACTATAAGAAGTGTATTATATAATATAATATACGATGTGATCTTCGATATCTCAGGTACTATTTGCTATATATAATACGTTTGTACCTATAATGGTATATATATATATATATATATATATATAAAACTAAACGTCACGTTAACGTTTTCTTTTATTGTTGGCGTTCTATAATTTATTGTCACCTGCCTAAAATAAAAATCTTCCCCTGATAATCTTGCCTTTAATACATATAGGTAGGTACCCTAAAACGAATTTAATTTTATCTTTAAATACAGCGTTTTCTCAAATGGGAATACCGACCTTGAAAATAATGTAATACATTTAATATAGTATCGTAAAATATTCAATGAAATAAATATGATCGGTATGAACAATGAACATTATTATTAGTCACTATTAATATTGGACCAGGGTCGGATTAAGATTTTTAGTACTCCTAAACAGATTTTCCAATATCAATCATTATTTGACACAGAATTAATATTTTTGCACGATTTAAAATTTATTGATTACAATATTATGCATTGTGAATATTTTTTTAGATATAGCTGAAAAGATTGGCGTCCCAATTTTAATGTGCTTAATAATACGCCCTACAGCTCCGAGAGTTAATCTGGTTTTATGTTTTGTTTATCATAAATCAAACTGCGCATTGTAAAGATTTAAAGAGTAATTTATTAGTACTAAGGTAGAGACTAGGCTATTATTGGTACCTATAGTTACCTAGAGTTCACTTATACAAGAGTGGATATTTGGGATTTAAGGCTTATAAACCCTTAATTATAAGATTCTTGCGCAATGCAATATGTATGCACCCGAACATGTGCAATAATACGACAGAAAGACTAATCGTGACAAAAATAATTTGCTGTATTTTTTGGATTCTTCAAAATTATGATTATGAACAATATTTTTTTTACTGTATATACATATACGTGCACTATGCCCACTACAGTGTTATATTATATTAAGTATTCATTATTTACGTATTCTAAAAAGCGATTCTAATTTAACTAATTTAAGGCTATACTCGGATGAGTCGGATGGATATAAAAATGTTACAAAGCACATTTTACAAATTTACTACTACTGTTATTTGGTACATTTGTCAAACATGTGCTTGTACGAGAAATTTATTATTACTATTATATATACGTGATGAACCTGAATTTAAAATTTATAACACAAATAGAGAAAATATTTGTATCAAACACAAATAAATATATTAGGCACACTTACAATTTTATATAAAAATTGGTATAATCGTAGCAAATTCGACTTAAAAGATAGAGTGTCGAGAACACCTGCAATCTATATATCATATAACCTTAAAGTATAAGTGGTGTTTTCTAAATGCATTTATTTAAGGTATATTTTGTAGGATTACACATTTTAATCATGATTATTATTATAATAAAGTATAGGCCAACTTAACGTTTACTCTATATGTGATTATAATTCGTCAGGAATTTACCGATCACATTTCACCATATAAAATAAAATGATATATTATATTATATTGTAAAGTATTATAAAATATTAT